ATTTCTGTGAAATGTTTATCCCGAAAAATAAAATAAATGAAATGAAAATTGGGGAGGGGCATGGTCCACTGATCAGCCCCAATAGGAAAACACACTTAAACTGTGGCACATCAGTACAGAGGTGTGTCAATTGCAAGTACATGTACCTACATGTAAAACAAATTTAAGTCAAAACATGCCTGCAATGAAACAGGTTCATTATCCCAATCACACCACATTTCTTCAATTTAATCGTAACCCTCTACCCTACCAGTAACTAGTGTATGCAGCTACTCTGCTGAATTCAAGATCATCCAACAAGCTGTGGCAGTGAAAACCTGCTGTGAATCTAAAAGATCCAACAGCTAGAACACAAGGCCATTGTTCACTGTTCACATAAACAAAATCCCACAGAAAGAGCCCCCAATTTGATATCATTGGGTTCAGGATGGTCGGGTTGAATGGTGATCCTGTCCATAGCTTACCAAGTACGTTGTACAGAACACATGAAATTCTTGAAGTAAATCCCAAAATTTCTCATTAGTAAGCACAAAAATACTGATTGCGGTGGAAAATAGTTATATAAGATACATGTACTTTTAATGCCTTCCCCTTCAAAAAAACAAAAGTTTAAGGCACTCGTGGTTTCAACTCAGATGCCATAATCAGATAATAAAATTAGGGCAGTCAAGCATTTTAATTACGGGCTTTGCCCTTATCCAACGTACATGTATATATTTATGACCACTGTATACCCAGTGCTTGTCCGTTAACCGGGCGGAACTCGAACCCATGACCTCCTGCTTACTAGTGCAAATGTCTTGAGCAGGAGGTTGTGGGTTTGAGTCTCACGGCCACCTGAGTAAGCTTGTGAATATTTTCACAAGCTCTCGGGAAAGCACCGAGCACGCAGCATTTAAAAAAATACACGTATATACGCTGGGCAAGGGCAAAATCTGTAATCAAAAGTAACATCTCCCTGATGCAAAGTACATTTTGACAACAGTCAAGAATTGTTATTAGTGAAGTGCCTTCGTCAGTTTACATGTAGGTATGAGGGGTTTACTGTACCTGGGCATTTCTGGCATACTGAACTCCTGTCTCCTGGTCTAGTCCAACCAACACACACACCTCCAAGAGACAGTTGGGCAGCTTGGCCAAGGGCGTGTCTGTCATACTCATTCTGCCGCAAAAAAGAGGAGGTTTACAACATGTCAAAAACCGGGCACACTGCTTTCAGATGTCTAAGCCAAACAGGGTGATGTCTTTAGTTCTGTTTTGACATGTTTGCCGAAAATCTTCCCAAACCCTCTAAAAACCTCCACCGTGAAGGACACTGGTCAACGACATACATGTACATGTATACTTCACTTTTAGGGGCCATCGACCCTCAATTAAAGTAACAATGACTCGGTTCTAATTTCTTCAATCCAGCAAATCTTGCCAAACACCCCCATAATTGCAATGGATTTTGAAGGATCTTGGACAGTTGGAATAACCGATACCCATATTTTTAAAAAGAACACTTAGAAAGTACCCAAAATACTCTAAAACAACCACTTTTTGCTACATTATAACACCTTCAGTGTCATCATTGAAGGTTTACAAATTTGTTGCTTCTCATTTTAAAAGAGACCTGCCAAGTGCTGCACATACTGTACATGTATGTCTGAGCATACAATGTACATTAACAAAAACACACCCAAGAATGTGCTTATTGAAAGGACTCTTAATATGTGCAATCTTTACATTCAACTGCTAATTATTTAGACAGAACACTTTAGAGTCATCACTGGAGCTATACCTGTGTCTGAGCCTATGCACTGGTCTTCCTTTGGACTTCTCTGCTTTGGCCAATTTGGGCGACAATGGCGTCTTGCTGTCTGAAATGGTCCTGCCCGGCTGGGGGCCACTGACTCCGCCCCCCTGGGGGTCAAAGACGTCACGGCTTTCTTCCTCTTCCTTGTCCCAGGCTGGGTGGGTGTAGCTCTGCGTCTGCCACTCAGGATCATCACTGGCATGCAGTGGCCGTTCTGATGCCACTGCTGCCACCACACACCCGTCTGATAATGCCCCATCGCCTGCCTGGCCTTGCATGTGCCGCTTGGAAAAGTACATCAAATTGGACATTGCCCTGCTACAGTTGCATAAAAAAAAAAATAAAAAAAATAAGCAAAAACACCTTTGCGAGTTACTCGAACAACCCCCTTAGAATCAACAAGAACTTCAGACGCAGTTTGTGCGATTCCTGCATTGTTTGGAGGTCTCCTGGAACACACAAAAAAAGACAGATATGTTTACAGTGTCAAGGTTCATCTTTACAGGAATGATAGATATGGTAGTGGTCACAATGAAATACAGATTCTCTTAGAAAGAAGTAAGCACTGTAGACGAACATTTTACGAGCCAATAAAAACAAACAATTTAGAGCAAACAAAATATCTTATCACAGAAAAACTCCTTTTGTGTATGCAGTGCAAACAGGTACATGTACCGGTACATTGTATCACTTCTTAGTAGGCTTTAAAAATTACATGTTCATTGTTGCTGCTTGTAAAACAACCTAGGCACTTGTAGAAAGATAAGAAGTACAAGAAGTACATGTACTGATCTTTTTTTGTGATTTTTTTAATGTTGGTCTTCAATGTAAATCTTTAATACTTTTTGGCACTGTTTGCCAAAAGGATCAGTCTTACTAAATAACCAGGCATTACTTAACTCCCACTGGAAATTTCTATCTGAAACTTTTGAGTTGCATGTACATGTTCATGTACTGTACATTGTAAGCCACCTTGACAAATCTGAGATTGGGGTGGCCTTAAGAGGATGGAGGTGGGGAGGGGGGGAAATCCCAATCTTGAGGTCAACTTCATGTACATGTACCCTTAGGGTTAATCCCTGTAATGGAATATTGGACACAGCTCCAAGTTCAATCAGTGAACAAATAGGAGGCCTGTCTTCTGGAAATTGATGAAAGCTGATAAACGTGATGTGGTTGACACTGAACTCGAATGTGAACTTGCTGAAATTGGATGTAAATTGGATAAGGAACAAAGATTATCAACAAAAGCCTTACTGAGGAGCAGAGCGACCTTCACTTCCTGGACTGATGCACACATTCAGTGTGCCGCCCTCTAAATAAAAAACTTTGACCTTATTGGCTAAAAGGCTTTGCTGATAACGTTCTGCCACTAGGATGCCACAGAAAATAACTACATGTACATCCATAAATACGAAAGCTGGTTTTGGAAAAGGCCTGGGGTTGGGTAATGATTACATGCCTAACAGGAGCAGTGTTCCAACTACATGTACATGTAGGTCTGTAATCGAATCTATCACAAGTCCCTGCAGGTCCATCACAAGTCATCTTAAGCCACTTGAGTCCAAAGCTACCGTACATGTACCTACATGTATGCAAATGAGCTGTAAAAAAAGCATTCCTTTGTCATTTTTGTCCAGCTAATACTTATGACTGGGCTTGTGACTAGACTTGTAAACTTGTTTGTCACAGAACCTGTGACAGGACTTGGATTGGGCTTGTGATAGATTCTACGTTGTACTTCAAGTTCAGCCCTGGTCATGCTGGTTGGAGTTTTTTAAGTTGGCAAACAATCTGCTTTGAAGCCAGTGCCACTTCAAGATCCCCCAGCACCAATGCTGGGTCGATATACATGTAGCATCCTTCTAGGCTGAACTTCTGGACATCATCACAACTACTTCATCCAAGAACTGAAGGGGGAAGGAAATGTGACTCCTAAAAGTCTGCCGTAACCTGAATCATAAGGTCTTGAAGGTCATACAGCCTCTCAACAGGCTGTGATGACATGTACATGTAGCACTGAAGAATAGCAATGACACAACCAACTCTAATTTCCACATACATGTAATATTTGACTAGTTATACTTATTCAGAGCATAAAAACCCACGCACATGCAACATATTCAACAGAAATTTGAATTAAACTCTCCAATAATAAAAAAAAATTTAAAATACATGTAACAGAGTATACAGTCAACTTATTTACCACTCTTAAAGCCATATCACCCTGTGGGGACTTACACTGTACTTGAATTCCCCACAGGGGTATTAGTACATGTAAGTAAGTTAGTTCCTAGTGATATGGCTTTAAGAGAGGTAAATAAGTTGTCAGGAGTCCCTGTACAAGGTCAGGAACATCGTAGTAAAGTGTATAGAGTGCATGTATACAGTGGCATTTCAGTAAAGAAATACATGTAACAAAATGGTAAATAAAGCTGCAGAATTAATTACATTAACCCTAACCCTCCTCAACCCTTCACCTGTTGGAGGATTGAGGAGGGTTAGGGTTAAGCTTAATAGGGGAACAAATAGAGTAATATAATCGGAGAGAACAAGTAAAGCATGGAGGATTAAACATGAAACAAACATTCACAGGACAAATATCAATTTACAAAAATACCTCAGCACACAAAAACCAGAAAAGTGGAATCTGGAACTGTGTTAAAAAAACAGGAAAAATTCAGAAGCCTTGGAAGTTGGAGAATAAGACAGTCTGCACTTATTCAGTGAAAGATCCTGCTTCAATTATTTTCTTCTGTTGAAAATCATCAAAACATTATACCATGTTATTATGGGGGAGGGGAATTGAGACAGTACAAGAGCCACAGTTCTTGGATGCATACATGTACCGGTACATGTACAAGTAAATGCATTACTGCAACAAAAGTCCAACGCTGTGAAGAGTAGAAATTGACAACACTCAACAGGAAGTTCATGTCAATGCTATGAACCACCTGTGTACATGTACTGTACATACATACATGTATACTACATGTACATTGTACACTGTACATGTACATGTTCAGTACCTGTGAGACTCAGGCCCCCTCAGAAAAACAGTTCTGTTTCCTATTACAACATGGCACGTGCAAACAGGATAGGTTGGTTTACGTACATGTACACATGTACATATAAATGTACATGCACAAGTACATGTACATGTAGGTACATGTACATTAAGGTAGGACAATTTCATTACGTGATTCAGTGTGCAACTGCATTGTGAGTGTTAACTTATTAAAATAACAACAAAATGTGGGTGGCATTTGCTACACATAAAGTAAACAGAACTATTCACATATCCCAAAGTTTTCCTCAAACCTTTAGGGTTGTAGGGTACATACATGTATGTATGTAGCAGGGGAAACCGGAGGCATGTGGCTATTTTTGGCCCTTATCAGTGAGTGTAATCACGAATGCTAAACTAAGCATCACATTTTGTTATTAAACACATTTTCCAGTGGCAAATAATACCCTATCAGTAGGGATATGTTAAAAATATATAATACAAGAAGTTTCTTTTCTTGCATTTTTGAGGAAAAGGAGGGAGGAAACCCCTTTTTGTCAATTTCTGAACCGTACTGCTTTGTGTGCCAGAGGTTCATGTACATGCGATTATGCATCATTCCAACCGATAGCTTTGGAACATGCACACTTGTACACTGTACATGTAGCAGAAAACAAGAGTGCACAGAACAAAACAAAAGTTGGAACAGAAAAAAATGAGGCGAGGAAACAAAATGAGCACAGACAAGAAATGAGCTTAATGCTTTCTAGTTTCATTCTATTTCACAGCATGTATGATAAATTAGTTGTACATGTATGAACACTTTTTCTCTAATAAGACATACATGTAGAAAAGTTATGTTGGTACTGGTGAGTTCTTCAATGATTTGAATTTTTTGTGTCCTTTGAACACCTGTTGAATATACATGTAGCAACTGTACAGTGAAAAACCAGTACTTTTTTTTCAATAAATGACTAAAACTACACACAAGGTACACAAAGGGATTGAAAAATATATTTCAATTAAACAATTCTCCATTGGGCTCAGAAAGATACAACCAAAAATATAAGTACATTGATTAATTCAGCAAAAATGAAAAGTTTATCACAGTTTTTGTTACAACAATTCTGAGCCAAATTTGAAAATATTCTTTTGGAATTTAATCTCTCAGCTTAGCAGGCCCTAAACTTGAAACAGAAAATATGATGAACTGAACATGGCAATTATAAATAAATGTATTTGAAGAATCATTGAGTCACATATAAACTGCACAATAAATTATTAGTTTTATGTTTAGTTTAATTAAATTAAAATGACTTTTTACAAAGCGTACATTTTTGCTCTAGTAAGTAGTATCACTATGATCATTCAATTCCTTTGCTGGAAATTTGGGACTGAACTTTACTTTTCAAAACAATCTTCCATGACCGCTGAATTGGAAGGGGCAATTGGCTGATGACGAATGGACTGACAAATGGAACTGCCACATGTGGTGCATCACAAGACACGTAAGACGGTCATGGAGCTATGTGGCTCTGTGAGTATCGTTGATGTACCCTAATGTGGTGCAGCCCCTAACGTGGTGCGGCCCCTAATGTGGTGCACTTGCATTTTTCGCGTCTCTTGTCTTATCGGAGCAATATTTTTACCTCAAATTTAACAATCAGTGAAACTTCATCAAACTCGTATTAATCTGCTTCATAAATCTCAATCATGTGTGTCGGCTAAAATTTTCTGATGACATTTTATATTCAAATTTTTCCTGACGCGCAAAATGAACGCTCTTAGAATGTGCTCAAAAATATGAAACTAATTTTCTGACACGCTTGTGGATGGGTAGGTCAGCAGAAGGAATGAAGCTTTACAAGAATTCATCAACGTTAAAGAATTTTGAAAATGTTTATGAGGGATATTTCTGAGATTTTTCAAGTGTGCCACATTAGGGAAAACTCAGCTGAATTCAAGCCCAATTTCTGGACTCCCACATTTTTGGACTTCGGACAAAATTTCAGGCATGTCAGGGCACTGAAATTGTTCACAAAGGTTCAACAGCATAGATCATGAGGGTTACAGTACCAGGATTTAACCAGATGAGTTTTTCAATGAAAACGTCTGGCAAATGCTGTGAGAGGAAAGTTAAGTGAAAGTCGAAGTGCGCCACTTCGGCCGTACATGTAGCTGTGTTAGTGTACATGTACATGTACATGACACATATCCGATCAGCTTGAGCACAACGTTACGCAGCGATCGACCTCTCGCCCGATCGCGCACCAGATTCTCGAATCACACAGAATGCGCCCCACATTCGCATAACCGGAAAGAAGATCACTCAATTCACAAAGCACGTCAAGAAACAAAATGAATTTGTTTATCTCCTCTCAATATTTACTCACCTAGTCGTGAACTTTCAGCCGTGGACAGGGCCAGGGTTTATCAACATCGGATTTCGTCACGTCTGGCTGTACCGTCATTGTCATATGTCCCGGGCATGCTAGTGCAGCTAGCTCGCTAGCGCGCGCTGCACACCATACCAACAACAGATACATTTTCTTGTTTCATTGAAGAGCGCGTCTAGGTACTAGACATCAGTACATGTAAACAAGTTTCAAATCAGTAGATTTGTATAAGTTCAAGTGTTGGTCTCGAGTGCCTAGCGCACAGTGTGGTACGACCGTTGTTCCATTCTTTTATTGCACTCAAGTCTGGGTAAAGGGGCAACTCTCTATTCTATTTCTAATATCTCCGTGTTGTACAGGGATTTTACATGTTTTCCTCATTTTTTTGCTGCAACATGATAAAAATAAATGAAACCTTTTCTGTGTAGTATGGGAGATATTCATACCGCATTTAAAAGTTTAGTCAGTAGGGCCTAATTCAGATTTCCCCAAAAGACCGCAAAACTATTTGGGCCCCTTTCAGTTTTGAATGTGAAATATGGATTAGCCATCAGTTGACCAATCAGAGAAAAGAGTCAAGACTCATTGATGTCAAGTTGAGCAATCACAAATAATCCAGATCAGCCTATGCGAAAAAAGCTGAAACTCACACAAACAAGGAAATGAGCAGAATGATAGGAAAGGGGGATTAATGGAGGAAACTCAAGCCTACGATGCGTGACATATAATTTTATTTTCAAGCTCTCATAGAATGGGCCTTTTCACCAAAGATAGTGTGACAAGCAAATCACAACTATACACGCATGCGTACAAATGGCCATGGCAGTAGTCTGGATCCTTATCCAAAGATTCCCCGATGACTTTTGATAAAAACTCTTCGGTGCGTTCGAGCGAGCTACTCGTTAACACGAGTATACTCCTGAAAGCTCGAACGGCTGGAATACGACCCGAGAGTTAGCGAGAAATACTCTTGTACCCGAGTGTAACCGCGCAAACGCACCCCTTGGGTCAGGCTAGGCATATAAACAGATATGACGCAAGGGCCAGGTGTCATAATTTGAGAGACCGGGTGTTTTCGATTTCATTACAGTGGTACACCCTGTATGTGTGGGCGTTTGCCAGTCGTCATCAGGTCCTGATTCTTCCTAGATTGGCATTGATTTCGGCCAACTTGAAGGCGACCTTCGATTCCCCAGTCGGTTCAAAGTCAAATACATCTTCGGTACTAAGACCAACAGCTGTCATTAGCCTATACTTGATTTTAGTAAAATTTAGTAAATTTTTACGCTCATCAACGGTACCGCGAGCATACCGAATATACATGTAGATGGAACGACCGTGACTTCAAAATACTTCAGCCGAATTCGGCGTGATACCGGACCCACATATGCAGCAAGGTATGAAAGACGGGTAAAAATTTGGCAGAAAAGGGATTTTTATCGTGTGCAAGTTATCAAAAGGGGCCTTGAGTGTTGAAATACTAATCGGCATGGAGATAAGGGGCAAACAACTTTTCCTGAGCTTGATGTTGATCGATTACTTTTGTAAAAAGCTAAAACTAAGACTAAGCTAAGCTAAGTTTTAGCTAAAACTAAGCTAAAACGCTTAAACTAAGCGAGGGGCATGAACGTTCGAACATGCGTGCCCGCCCGGGGCCGGGCGTGCTGTGGCTCGCGCTAATGGGCGTCCACACCAGCAAAACATCCGTTTCTTCAATGTATGTACGTATGTAATCGCTTGACTTAATTCGAAATTTGGGGTTTATAGCACTGACTGCCCGATTGTTTAAGGGAGCGGGAACAAGTCTATAGTTTGACTGCGCATGTGCATACCGAACACAACCGAATCGTCGAAAAAGATTCGGAACTTCGGGCACCATCGGGCCGAACACTGTCAAAAAGATCGAATGCTTTCTCAATATTCAGATGCTTTTTAAAGGCGGATATGCTTTCAAAATTCGGATGCTGTTTAAAGTCAGATGCTTTCGAAATTTGGATGCTTTCTGAATTCGGAAGAAATGCGGGTGCGGGAATAATTCTATAGTTTGACTGCGCATGTGCATACCGAACACCGCCGAACCGTCGAAAAAGATTCGGAACTTCGGGTACCACCGGGCCGATCACCGTCAAAAAGATCGGATGCTTTCTCAATATTCGGATGCTTTTTAAAGGCAGATGCTTTCGAAATTCGGATGCTTTCTGAATTCGGATGAAATGCGGGAGCGGAACTCGAAACCTTCGGCTGTTTATTGTCGGAGAAAATGCATTCGAATCTGGAAAACGTTAGGTCTGTCAAATTTCATTCGGATTTCGAAAACATGTCAGGTCTGAAAAATTTCATTCGAATCTTCAAAACATGTTAGGTCTGAAAAAAATGACTCGAATCTCAAAAACATATTAGGTCCAAAAAAATTTATTCGTATCTTAAAAACATGTCAGGTCAGAAAAATTTTATTCTAATCTTAAAAACATGTTGGGTCAAAAAAAATTTCATTCGAATATTAAAAACATGTTAGGTCTGTAAAATTTCATCCCCAAAAGATATATTAGGTACGAAAGATTTCATTCGGTTTTGGAAAATGAATTCAAAAATTCAAAGTACGTTCTGTTATAAAAAACATTACATTGAAAAAAATCGATTGTTAAAAATTATTAGATTTCTCGGAAAACGTGTTCTGATCTTTTTGACTCTAATTCTGCTTCGTAACTCTCCCCCGTTTGTTTCCGAAAAACTTTTAACTGGAATGGGAACAGTCATTTGAGTAAAGCCCTTCCTTTTAAAATAGAAAGTAACTTCACACCCATCATGCCTTCTCATGCGTGCAATGAGAAAATATATATAAAAAATATCACGTTCTTATGCACTGCTCAGTTCAAAGACAACACAGAAAACACGAATCTAACGACATTCATAATACATTTACCAATCGACATGATGTAATGGACAAGTAATATAAATGCTAAAATAAGATCATAGTTTATTCATACGACAATTTACTCCTGTCTCAATTTATTGTGGAAATGAACTGCATTTTAAGTTTGGGAAATCTTTCCATATTTCCCTGCTTACGCTTCTGATAATTCACAATAAATTGTAATACAATGCAGGTTATAATACACGTCCTTAATTGTGACAAGTTAACTTCTATGACATAATTGCACAGTTAATTAACTCGAACTTATCTCATGTATGCTACCAAACAGATTATCTGGAAATAAAATGAACACAGAAAAACAAAGATTTCACGCCCATTTGTCATTTACGACTTTATTTAATACTGCATTCGGAAAAATATTAACTTGGACAGGTTACACCCACAGGCATCCACGTGGGATTAATTACACTTATTAATAGAAACTCAGCTGCTTACCGACGACAATATCGATCGAAAAAGAATCACAGAGTCTCAAAAGCTCCGATCATTTTTGATCCCGACCAGTGAAATGGGTCACAATCAAAAATGAAATTCGACATTCGAAAATTTCTTAAAATAGCTTATGGCACTAATAGAAAGTGATTACATGAATGGTATTGCTTCCTGAAACTGACCCCAGTGTTCAGTTGCAGCAGCTGCCACCTATCATCCACTCGCGGCGCTCAGTGACCAAATCCACAGCGCCTTCACCAGGTTTATACTGACCTAGCACTACCCTTCGTCACTGAGGGTGGTCTCTTCGTGGAAAGTCTTGTACGTTCCATCGATGCCCTTAACTTCATTATCAGCTGAGGGCAGGAGTAATCCTGAGTCATCTTTAGGTATGGGAAAATAGCGTCTGATGAACTTCACGTACAGCAAGTTCAGTACCAGGATGAGAGCAAAAAAGCCTATCCACTGCAAAATGAAAAGACAAATAAAAAGCTCAATTACTGGCAGGAAATTTCAAAAGCACGGACACTACGTGCAACAGTGTACAAATATGTATGAAGTTCCAAACCACAGTAAGATTCACAGTGTGGAAGATAACCCTCGCACGTCGCGGCTGGATATTTTTTTTTCAGAGGGAAGATCGTTAGTCTCCTGAAATGGAAGAATTCTGCTTGAGTAATTTTTACTTATAAAATCAATAACAGTTGGGGCTTATTAGAACCAGTGGCGTAAATTTGTGTCGAAAATTGGGGTAGGGGTGGGGCTGGGGGATGGGGAAAGGTGGGGGATGGCTTGCCCGACCATGAAAATTTGAAAAGCGGGCGGGAGGGGGTTGACACCATACGACTCAATGTAACATTGAGGTAGATGTTCATGATATTAATGCACATCTGGAATAATATGTATTCTGGCGTATGGCTGACTCTCACAACCGCCAGGCATACGCTCGGGATTAGGCACTACCGACGAGTGATTATAAGAAAACGGGGGACACAACTCCGTTTAGGAGAAATATACCCCCAGGCACCGCAGCAGGGCAGACAACACTCACACCAATGCTCACTAGATAGGCTTAATTACTGTTGCATCTTCCTCCTGGTTTATTCTCTTCTCTGCCTTTAAAGGCGACTCCTAGGTAGGTGTGAACTTATAAGAAATCAGATAAATGTGCCCAAGATTGGCCACTGGTCTTTGTTCTAAGCTCCTGGGTAGTTGGCTCACTCACCGCCAAGGCCACTCTCTCCGGTAATGAACACGCCCGCTTGGTAGGCTTGGCCGCCCAAACCCCTGCCGAAGGTTGCACTCAGCCGCGCTGCATGACGTATACCGATCCGTAATTGCGTGTGTCTCACTCATCAACTTCCTGCGAGCGACGCGAGGGCAAGAGAACGAGCGCGCTTTGCGACGCTGCCTTTATGCTAGCCGTGGCAGCGCGTAAAGACCTATGCAGTGCGGAACCACCAAGCCGGGTACCAGTACCAGACTGGTACACAGTCTCATCAAATGTTTCGTTACAGTATTACAAATGGCAAATGCATGGCTTGTTTAAATCGTTTTTCCTGTTTTGAGTGGTATTGAATGCATTTTAATCATTGGAAGTCTAAAAACTCTTTACAATTCGCTATAAAAGGGGGATGATTCAAAAGCCCCCGCCTCAAAAAGTGACGGGAAATATATACCCCCATCCCCCTGGGATTTACGCCCATGATTAGAACTTTATCACGCTTTGTAAAATAAAGACTAGAGACAGTTTTTAAGAATGCTTCATGCTCGGGAATCTTAAAATTGAGACCATCTGTTTTTGTTGGCTGTACTTCTATATATACTCATCTCTTCTTCTCCATAGATCATTTTGAAAGGAAAAGTGTATATCTTGGAAAGTGTACATACATTCCACTGCACATGTACTTTAAACATGGGTCCATATGTGATATTTACTTTTGGTTGTATCTACATATTAGTTTTTGGAATATCCTGAGTGGATGCATGAAAAGATATATGGGATAACGTGACCATGGCGACTGAGAATGTATATGCCAAGAAATCTTATGTTTAGATCGTCTATTGGAAAAAAAACGCTCACCTGTACGATTGTTATCATAAAACTCTCTGTGGCGAAACTATACCAAGGTTCAGACTCTTGTATTGTTGTGACGATCCACCAAACGATCAGTGCTACAGCCTCCAAAGGTGCAATAAACCTGGAAGAGGACAAAAAATTCCCAAATTTTTGAAGAGCAACACGATCACCACAGATTTTAAAGACCAATGAGTGAACGCCTGTCGTGACAGCCATACTTGGGTGGTATAGTGTTCCAAGGAACAAGTCAATGCCACCGATGAAATCTCAATGAAGCATTTTATTTCTAAATAATTTTATCGTCCAGCGATTCAACCCTTTCCCTTTTTACTTTCAAGCTGGCGGATAAAGTTGTTCCTTGTTTTTGAGAGAAAGACTAAAAGCACTTCAATTTGTTTTGGCTTCACAATGTAATGTATTGTCTCCCTTTATGTCTGTGTCCTCAGTACGAAAGAACTCGCTGGATTCAAGCTATGATCAATACTTGTTTGACTACAAAATACTCAAAGCCAGAACCTACATAAGCCAAATAATAATGATCATTATTTCTTCAATGAAACAAAAGAAAAACCTCACTTTACGATCCATTCCCAGATAAGGGGCAGTGGCCAGTCACTCTCACTGAAATTATTGGTCAGCTCTTGGCGGAAACGCCTGGCGCCGAAGCGGATGACCAGATACTGCAAGGCCATCCCAGACAGGAGCAGAGCAAAACCCCAGACGAAATCCTGGTCGCACAAACGACGGAAAAAGTAGGGAAATGCCTATAAACAGTCATAGAACCTTCTTGAACAGAACCTACACAGAACCTGTGTCACAGGCTTTTGTGGGGGCATTCGGGTCAAACATAATGGTTAAATGCATTCTTGTGTAATTGAAATTTTACGTATGAGTTAATTTCATCAGTTTTATATTATCAATGACTCCTGACACCTAAGTTTTAATTCAAGTTAACGTCATTGGTATATCCTGGTTTTGGGTCTGGGGAGGGAGCAATTAAGGTGATGCTTTTCTCTTAAAAAAAAGCCGGTCGGAGTTAATTCGTCATTACCCCCTGCATGGGTGATGTTACCATTTCGGAGGAATTAGCGCTTTCCGTTAATAAAAAGAAAAAAGGACAGAACAGAACGACAAAACATGTCTCTCGCCTCTCCCTGGACGCGCCACCTGTTAACACGTGACCATTACCTGGTTAGCAAGGAAGTCAAGACTGAGAGCAGAGCCAAGGCCGAGAAGAAACACCAACAGGACCACGAACCCTGAAGCTTTCTTTCTCGAGACTGAGGAAAGTAAAAAACGAATTATTGGGACATTACTTCATCAACCTCGTGAATAGTGTTGGTTCACGAGGTTGATGGAGTTGGAACAATGATATGAAACAGAAATGTCACCGGATGCCCAACAGAATGTTTGATTCATCAAACAGCCATTCACAGTAACCATTCGGTTTCTCCACTTTGGAAAAAATGGCACATGCCATTCGCAATATTTTTCAGTCGAAGCGTCACAGTGTAACAACGATGCCAAACCCAAATAATTAAACGAACAAAATCTCAAGTTTTGATAATTTAGCCAGTATTCACGTATATTTCTGGCACACGGGTGCTAAGTTCTGGGGGACTAGAGTCCAATTCAACACTCGTTTCGTATCTCTTATTGTGATACTTGTACTGTACACTGAAATTTTCTTGGGAATTGAAAACAAAATCTTAGCCCTCTATGGAATTTGTTATAATTTATGCCAATGTGTATACATTGTGTATACATACCTCCAAAATCTTTGACGTTGTGGACGAACAGCTCCAGCTGGGCCACGAGGGAGCTGAAACCGGCCAGTAAGAGTGCAAAGAAGAAAAAGACCATCAAAACTCGGCCTCCATTGATCTGGTTGTACAGGATAGGCATCCTGAGCAAGGGAGGTGAGAAAAATTACCAGCAAAAAAACCTCAGTTGAAAAAGGATAAATTCATAAAGCATTTTGCACTTCTAGTGATCTCGGAATGAAATAAGGAAAAAAAGAGCAATTTATTACCAACGATTCTGTGTTGATTTTCAAGTTCTGGCAAATACAAAGTTACTAAACACACACTCCTTGAATGTGCTGTGTCTTTCTATATCCCAAAAATGCTGCCACGAATTGTTTTTTGACAGTACAAAAAAGAAAAACACTTATTTTCAGGCCAATGGCAATAAAATAAGCTCAGATATTAAGGAAGCAACATATAATGTTTATCATGTTGTATTTAAAAAAGTTATTGCCTCTTAACATTTATATAGAAGGTGTAAAAACCCTCATATTTTTAGAGAATCCGGGAATCGTCATTACAAAAGCAGAAATTTAGTAACTACGATGATCCTTAAAAAATGAGTTATTCCTCTTGCAGCACACACTACTTTATCCCTTCCCTAAAATATTTGTCAATAATAACAATTTACGGAGCTCTGAAAGTGCCATCCTGACATATTTTTTCTCGGGATGAAGACATAATAAAGGCAAGATGTCGACATCTTAAGATAATTTATCTCGGGATGACGACATCGTGAAAGTTGTATGACGACATCCTGAGATAATCATTAACTCAGTATGTCGTCATCCTGAGACATCCAGCAAGTGTGATATCTACTTTACTACTTGTAACAAGCGGTGAGACTTCATTACGTTTTATCAATAATATCATGTATGGCAATAGCAATACAATTCTTTAAAAGACAAAAGCACCTCAGGTCACCCGTGCGTTTCCAAGGTGGTTTGTCAATGCACTCATTCACAAATAATGTCCTTATTCCACTTTTATGATGTCGTCATTCATGATAAACTACCTCTCGATGTCGTCACCCAACTTCTAGGATGTCGTGATTCTGTCATAATTTATCCGGGGACTTCATCATCCACGTTTTAGGATGTTGTCAGTCGGTGATAATATTTCTCGGAATGTCAGCATCCCGTGAAAAATTATCTCAGGATGTCGACTTCTTACCTCTACGATGTCGTCATTCCAAGAAATTGTACTGCGGGATCTGAACAAGTTGGATGGTACTTCTAGAATTCCGTAACAATTTGATAATAAAAGCACATTTTGTTTCAATCATTCACGACAACCAAAACATGATATAATATGCATTTGCAACACCTCTTTCCTTCTACAAAACTGTTTTGGGAAAAAGAGGAGGGATTTTTTTTACCATACAAAGGTTAGTCCTGTATTTCCGGGTCCATTTTCTTTCAAAAGTTCGACAATTTGTTCTGTCGACGATCCATTTTTCACTTCCGTTGCAAAGACTGTGGCGAATGTCAACATTCCGCAGACGAGGCTAAAGAGAATAGAAAAAGGGTAAAAACTGAACTTAAAGCTGCTTCATGATTTTATGCCCCAAACCCGGCAATTTGGACTCATAATGACCTCAAAATACTGCTTTTGTTATATCTTTTCTAACAAAAACAATAACGCAGTGACATTGACTTTGTTTCAATGAAGTTTAGAGTTGAAAAAAGTTGGTGAATAACGTCTCACTTTGACTTTTAGAAAAGACTTAATTAAATCGCGGTCCAGATAAATGAATTGCCGCATACAAGAGGCATGTCTCAATGACCAAGGAAATAAGGATGTGTGACTAATGAAGCACCTTTCAAATACAAGTAAAGAAAAGGTGTACCTGATAACATTGTTGCACAGAGGCACTAGGCTGGCAGAGCGGACAATGCCGTTTTTCGCTGTCATGAAAGCAGCGTACGAGACAAACAGCCCTGAGCCGGCCCCTGTGTCAAATGCATTCTGGGTAATGGCGTCAACCCACATCCGGGGCTCTCGGAACTGTTCTGCATGGGTTGGATGAAAATTGATGGACAAACATTGAAGTTCATATCAAATTTATATCAAATGGTTTCACCACTGACTTCTGTAAATCTCCCAATCTTCCCAGACATCTTCCGAAACATGTTTTCTGAGAATACCTTCTCTTAACTTTATTCTAGACTTGCGTTTGCAAAAGTCTTCCACAAGCTGCGATACGTTTCCAGGAATTTCCTTGATTTTTTCTAAGTCCTATCCAAAGGGTTATTATAGATTTAAATTTACACGCAGAACCTTTTACTAAACCTTTGAAGAGTTTTTTTCGTACCCTCGGAATGTTTTTTTTTCGCCGGAACGTTTCGTAATTTTGTCATTCATTCTCGTTCAAGTATGCTCTCTGGCAAAACATTTTCAAGCAATTTTTCGTATGTACACACTGGATCAACTTTTTTCAAACGCAATATGTACTCAGCGATCTGAACACGACGCACCCCAATCTGGTGAGAACATAAATTTCAGGCCACGGCCAGCATACTCCAATGTCATGCTCCAGATGAAGGTGAAGAGCAGGAGAAGAAGGAAGAGAGGAACCACGATGCAGTTGGCCAACTCGATGCTCTTGACACCCCAGGCCACCGAGACAGCCCCAAGGAGGATGGTGACAAAGTGGCACAGTACGGGCATCCAAGAATCCTGCACACGTGTATATTACACAAGCCTGATGAAGTTTTTCAAAATGAGCTGTGGCAATTGTTACCTCGAATTCTCGTCCCAAGATGTTGGATCACTTTGACCAACAAAAAGCAAATATAACCACAAACCAACGACAACATTTCAAGAAAACTGTAGACTTGTGGACAGTTAATGCTTCTTAGTCTTACAGTTGGGTATCTGTTTGTATTTGTTTTACAAGGCTAGTAGGGCCTACATTTACCTCGACAAAATCATCAAAGATGCTGAAACTTTCCTCGGACGTTGTTGGGAGTACGTTGACCATAAAATAGAATAGATAGTACAGACACCAGCCGATGATCACAGAGTAATATGCCCTGTCAGTAAAAAAAAAACGAAATCGTAGCCAAAGCGGAAAGTCAGATTAAAGTAAGTATTAAAATTGGGACTTTAAAAACAGCTGACCACAACATGCATGTGTAGATAAAGTTAGATTGATCTCTGTAATACTTTTTAACCTATTAACCAGTGTCATTAATTACGACCGGTGAGCTCCCAGCCAATATGATTTCTACGCACGTTTTAAGAGCAGATGCGTAACAGCTGAAAAACACATCTATCCAGTTCGTAAGTGTGACGTCACTTCAGTTTAACCACGCCCACTGCACACGCACTGCACATAGAGTATACATGCATTGATCGTCGTTTACGCGGAACCATGGAACCGGAAGTTAAGCGCAACTTCAGCGATCGTCCAATGGGAGCCTGCGTCCGTCTTTGTGACGAAGTCACTTATGAACCGGGTAAAGGCATGCAACCAGGGCGGAACACATTTTATCAGGGGTCACCAAGAGCCAATGAACTGAACTGCGTCTGGACATAAGCCGTGCGCATTTCAAAACGGGGCATGGACGTCTGAGGGGGGGGGGTGGGACGTGCCCCCGTAGATACGCCACCCCTTGCGACATGCATAATTTTATAACTAGCCAGCAATAAAAAGAACGGACAAAGGTACATCGGAGTTGTGGACTTACGATATGCCCAGGGTAACCATGGCAATCCAGGCCCCGCCCCACATGTTGTTGTCGCCGATCATGCGCTGAAAAGAGACGATGGTGGAGCGTTTGGTGTAGCGGCCCATGGCATACTCGATGACCAGCATGGGAATGGACCAAATGAAGAGGAAGAGGACCCATACCATCAAGAATTGCAGACAGCCTGA